GGGGGGGGGGGGGGGGGCACTGTCACTGCTCATTGCCTTGATTTCTATTATTATTTTTATTTTTTATTTTTTATTTTTTGCCTGTTCCTCAACTGATATCAAAACTTCTAAAGTTTTAGATTTAACTTCATTTAGTTTTGGAATATTTTTTCAAAATTAACAAAGACTTCAATATTAACATCTTCTATGTTTTCTCTACCATCATATAAATTTTCATAAAAATACTTAGTTTTAGCTTAATTATCATCTTGCTTTGTAATAATAGAGCCATTATCAAGTTATCTCTTAGGAATATTTTTTTAAATAACATTTCTGTTTTCAAGACTTATATTACTGGTTGTCTTCTCCCCTTCCTTATTTGGCTCTTGGTTTAACTATACGGTTACCCACGGTGACTACTGCTCACCTATATGTTTGTGGTAACACAGTGCTACATGTACATAGGTGTTTGAAAATCCCTAACTTTTTATACACCAAAGTTGTATTATATTCGTGATGGGTCTGCCAAGAAGGAGTGGTGATGGTGCGGCTGCGGTTGCTGTTGCTGGGAAATTGTAAACGAAAAGCTTGAGGTGCCCCTGGACGAATCTGACATCGACATAGTTCATCGACTGGGACGATAACTGAGATACATTATTGTGAAATCAACTCACAGGCCGAAAAAGCATGAAATTTAACAAGCCAGGAAAAAGCTAAAAGGGACAGGATTTACCGTGTTTGAGGAACTGACAAAAGTTAACCAATTTATACAGCGCGGAAGGAAAACTTGTTGTCATTCATCCCTTGGAGGATGCATCCTTATTGGACGACCAATGAATCGCGAGAATTCTCTGATCGGTAGTTGACACTAGGCCAATGCGGCCGCCAGGGGCTCTAAATGGCAAATATAGAGTCCTTGGTATACCGCCCTCTGTGTTTTTGTCGGACATGTATTATACTAATAAGTGTTTAATGTTTCTTCACTTTGAGTGCGTTTTCGGTTTACTTTTCGATGTTTGTCCAGCGTGTGTACAGATACGCGAGTTGATTTCATGCTTTATTTCATACGATATTTATCAGTTAATTAATTGTTAGAACTTATCTACTGCTATGTACTTACTGCACCAGTTTATCGATCGTCGTGTGCTTGATAATACTATTCAATTAAATGAATAATTGTGGTGTTCACAGGAATATCCATATTTAAAAAGACGTATAATGTAGTGTGAAAATCCGAACAACCGTCACTTAGTCGTTTCTAAAATATTGTATACTACTTCCGGGTGTTTTTTCGTGAACTTCCCATATGCTAGTAAAATAATCACGGAAATTTGTTACAGCTTCAGCTTGTACCATTCGCCGTATTTTGACACACACGGGGTATGTATGCAACAACTACACATATATATATATACAGTATATTGATAGCTAGTGAAATATAGGACGGTATTGAATCTGGAAGTTGTACTTTAATATACTGCAAGTTAGACATCAGCAGCTTGTTTCCACGTAGCCTCGGCTCAGGTGTATACTTATCACTAGAACTGTATACATTTCTAATCGATGGGCGAATATATTTTCAACTTTGGTCATATATAAATCTATAACTTATAAAAAAATCATCTTGATTTTGAGATGGTTAGTAAATGCGGCAATGTATAAGCTGCAATCTTATTAAATCATCTGTCACATGGCTCGTTTAAATTCGTACTACGCCTGCAGAGCCACGTAACAGATATATTTTTAAACAGATTACATATAGCTATACACTGTGAGCAGTAGTCTGTACTTTAACTAACAAGAAATGTAAATTTTCTGTATTTTATAAATCTCTCTTCTTTCTTCTTTTCCTCCATTGGATGGTGATTGGAACTTTTTTTTTTACTTCTTCTTAGACTCTGCTCATTGTAATACATTAAACTTTTAAAATATGGATGACTTAACTATAATACCAGCTAAATGTCAGGGACTGGGAGATTAAAAGGGTAACGTTTTCTTTCCTAAGAGAGTTTTTTTTTCAGTTCTTATAAACCTAATGCCAGAGTGGTTGCTATTCTATTTAGTAATACCTGTAATTTTGAATTTAAAGTTAAAAATAGAAAGGAAAGACTTGACATGCAACTTCTTAGCTATTGACATTGAATTAAAAACATAAACATTACATTGATAACATTATATGGCCAAAACTCTGGTGACCCTGACTTTTACAATAAATTGATTAATACTATAGACAGCTTTAGTAATGAGTGATCATTAGTGGAGATTTTAATCTAGTGATAAATCCTGATCTGGACTATGATAGTAGTAACAAAAATATAAATAATCCTAAAGCGAGGGATAAGGTTCTAGAAATAATTGAAAGTTATAATTTAGTGGACATTCATAGAGAGTATCACCATAACCACAAAAGATAAACTGTTCAAGCGGGTCTCTTCTTAGCCCCTGTTCAATCGGGTCTCTTCTTAGCCCCTGGTCAATCGGGTCTCTTCTTAGCCTCTGTTCAATCGGGTCTCTTCTTAGCCCCTGGTCAATCGGGTCTCTTCAGCCTCTGGTAATCAAGGCTACTCTAAACTGGATACTACTTTGAACCCACTTAGTGACGGTGAACAAACGCCAAAAAATCAAACCCAATAAAACAATCAAGGCTTGATATTTTCCTAATCTCAGAAAAGTTATTATCTAATGCAATACATTTAACAATAGATGCAGGCTATCAGTCTGACCACTCTTTTCCCAAAANAAGAGAGTATCACCCTAACCACAAAAGATAAACTGGTCAATCGGGTCTCTTCAGCCTCTGGTAATCAAGGCTACTCTGAACTGGATACTACTTTGAACCCACTCAGTGACGGTGAACAAACGCCAAAAAGTCAAACCCAACAAAACAGTCAAGGCTTGATATTTTCTCAGAAAAGTTATTATCAAATGCAATAAACTTAACAATAGATGCAGGCTATCAGTCTGACCACTCTTTTCCCAAAACAAAGTTAAGATTAATTTGAAAAGGACAAATGCTCATCGAAGTAAAACAACTGGAACTGGCATTATTTTGTTCATTATGATATTTATACGGAGTTATTGCCCTTTGTTGAAAAATACTTGTCCATACAACTCCCCCAACACTATGCGGCCTATTATTTCTACCTGATGTTTAAAAATGAGTTATGAACCTTTGTCTGCAACTACTCTGTCGATTTCAATAAAAGTTTACATATATGGTAAATACCCCCTGATGTCGTGCATTATAGTATTGTTTTATTTCGACCCTTTTTTTAGGAGTTATGGTCCTTTCTTAAAACTGTTTGTCCTTACATCTCTTCCTTAACTACTAGAACCATTTCAGCAAACCTCGTTCATTTGGGCTTACAAGATTTGGTTTGCAAGTATGTTTTGGCATTTGGAGGGAGTACAGGAAATATTTTAATGACTTATATTCTTTAGAAAGTGTACAGCTCATTTATTAAAGAAATCATTACTGGTGGGAGACTATGCATAGGTAGTAAACCTTTAGCTTACAGTTCTGGTTTATATAGGAGCGGGGTATTGGTTAGCCTTTGACTTACAGTTCTAGTTTCTAGATCAATTACCATAACTTTGTATACATTTTCCTATTTTATTGTAAATATATATGGGTAGAATAAAGATGCCAGAAGTCATCTTATCAGGGAGGGGAATATGTAGCCCTTTATATTTGGGTAAACAATAGTCAGGGTTGACTAACTCCGAACAGGTAAGTTTCCACACCTACAGGTTGCATAACACATATGAGTGTAAGATAACTTAACTGATTTGGTGAATGGGTGAGTGTGTGCTCACGCTAAGAACCTGTTATTCCATGCAGAAACATTCCACCTATCGTTCGAATACCAGCCTTCGACGGTATCAGATCTACCAAACGTTATTCCATCACGGTTCATCGTTTTTTCCCAGGTAAGTTAGCGTAAATGCAGAAACATGCATGCTTTTATTTAAATGTTAAATGTAACTCGTACCATTGAATCAGTCATTGTGTGTGAGGTATGTTATGGTAATAAGTGTTCATGTCGTGTATCATGTATTTGTAGGTTTTTGTAAATAATAAACCGCTATAGAAGAATGCTAAGCTCATGGTTATTTGTTGGCCTGGGTTACAGGATTATAGTTAAATCAAGAGCCGTCATGTACAATATTTACAAATTATTATTTTCATGGACTTCACTTCTTTAACTGTGAACTATTTAAGCGAAAATATGTACGTTTCAACACATTCATTTCTCTATTCACACAGCCATGTTACATCTGCCTTTCCTCTTCTTTGGAATCGTATCCTTCCATTCGGTGCTAACAGCAGGTAAGTACATTGTAATACCCAAATAGATTTAGAACAGTTATCAGCAATATCGATGAAGTTTACATGACGATTTCTTCAGAAGTATCGCATTGTCTTTAAATAAACAGGGCGTTCATTTGAAGACATATTTATTACAAAAATTTAGAAATTATTTGGAAAATAAAACTGAATTTGATACACGTTTATAAAAGTTGTCATCAAATGATCTAAATCCTTATAATGAACACGTGTCTACATTGAAAACTATTCCAATAGAGGGTTTTCCGTTGTCTTTTTCCCATGTGTGAGGTTTAAAATTCTGTCGATAGACATTTCTAGTTATGTATTTTTACTGTATTTTTTGCTTTGCAATAATTGTTATTGAAATCTAAGTCTTCCGAAAACCTGTTTTTCTGGATTTTTTTGTGCTTGTATAAAACCCGTTTACTGTATGGATTTTAAAAACTCAAGGAGTTCCAGTTTAGTTGCACTAATGACTTGTTTCCGGAATCATTGTCATTTGCCCACAGCTCGATTTAATACAAACCTTGATATTTGCAGATCTCCTAAGTATGTATGGTATATATCGAAAGAAAATATCGCTTTAAAAAACATGTGGAAGTGCCGATTTTCGGCCTTGGGTCTAGTTGCGTACGCTATCGCGATCGATCACTTCATTTTCTTACATTTGACGTCTTAAAGTAAAAACTCGACTTGATATGTCCCACCAGCCGGGCTCGACTGGGGCAAGAAAGTATGACTACTTTTAGTTTGGTGATTTTGAAAATGAAAGCAGAATACATCAACACATGATCGTTTGTCTTTATTGGAGCAATTGTGATTTCATTTGTATTTAAAAGTTCCTTTCTTTGACTGTGTTTACCTGATGCAGTTTCCAAAAATTATCATGTTGCAGCATAATTCAAGAAATTTCCCATCAATGTTAAGAGTATCAATTTGAGCATGTTACCATGCCAGATAAAACCATATCATAGTCAAATCAAAGTGCAGAATAAGAAGACTTTGAAGTTGCATTTTACTATTGTTTATGTATGATATTACTTTGGCGGTATTATGTATACAGTCATAAAGTAAAAAGTAAAATAAAATAATGTTTTTTTGTAAAAGGAGCGAGATGGGCCTAGTTTTGTGTTATTTCATTCCACAGAAATATATAGATTCAGTATAAAATCTTTGGTAAAAGTTCATGTCGCCTAGCATCCAGTGCCATGGGCACTTTGATTTATTTCTATGAACGAATATAAAAAAAACTTTGAATAGGAGGTGGGGAGATTGATACAATAACTGTTGCACTGCCAATTTTTTGCCTTTTACTGGTATAATCCGTTTTTGTGCAGTGTTATATTCGCCTTCGATATTTAACTGCGGCGAAATGTTCTGGTGTATAGTGATAAGTGGGCAGTGTGTTGTTTTCTTGACAATAGGAAAGTATGTTGTCCTCCCTGGCAAGTGCAGAGTGAGGTGACTTCCATGACAAGTAGGAAGTGTAACGTGGTCGATTCTATCTCTATCAAGGCCTATAATTTGGTCAAATGGGTCTTTTCTTAGCCCCTGTTCAATAGGGTCTCTTCTTAGCCCCTGTTCAATAGGGTCTCTTCTTAGCCCCTGGTCAATCGGGTCTCTTCAGCCTCTGGTAGTCAAGGCTACTCTTATCTGGATACTACTTTGAACCCACTCAGTGACGGTGAACAAACACCAAATGAACAGTTCTATAATGTTTATTTATATACATAGGAGTACTGGAGCCGTACGAGCATGACATTTGCAAGGTTAATACAAGTAAATATCAACGTATCTCACTCTTGTTCTGTACATATGCACTTAAACTTCAATATATCTTAGTTTCTCTATTATACTGACCTAAAAAAAAAATCTGACATAGAGATACTCAACAATAAGCCTTATTTCTTTCAATTCTAGCAGTAGGAATTGTATCTGACTGAAGTTCGTTATGGTTTCTAATGTAAACATTGACCTACATTTATACGACTTTGACGTCACTTTACAATAAAGCAATTACATGGAAATCCCTTCTAAAAATAGTTCTATATATAGATATAAATGACATTAGGCTATTTCCTTAGGAAAAATAGGAAGTGAATCACGCTCGAACCTGGTTAGCAGTTCCGAGATCTTAAACCCATGTGTACTCATCGACTGCTGAGTCGTGACTGCCGATATTAAGGAATTGTCCCGAAAGTAACGGGATAAGTCATTATCGCACAAGCAAAACAAAAAAACACTCTGACGTTTAGACAATTTAATT